CATTACCCATGGACCATGTCATACGGTCCTTGGTGCCCATGTAGGGTACCCCTGTGGTTGCTTGTGGTGGAAGTGTGAATTTGGAAATGTTCAGTTTGCGCTCGTTGTGCCACCCATTTATTATCGCAGCCAATTTGTTCTTCCTTCAAGAATAAACTAATCTCTTATAAGTGGGTGCATATTGCTTCTGACTCCTTTCTTTCTTAATAGAGCTCAATAACACTGGAGACGAGAATTTGCCTTTCATTCATAAGCAGGACGCTTTGTACATCTTAATTGAGAATATAGACTCTGGAAAACATTGAAATGCGGAAGAGCAAACTTCTTTCAGAGATTAATGCGTCCGATAGGCATTGCCAGGCTGAGGAAACAAAGGCACACTAAATAAGCAATGCATTCTCTCTCTGTTTAATAGTTCATTTCAGGTTTTAAATCATTTGTCATTCTTTTCAAAGGAGAATGAAAGATGAGCCAATGCGGGATTGGAGTCCGCTCCTATAGTCATTTCTCAAGGGCTCACTAAATGACTGTAAAATAAACAATTCAAATGTTTTCTTTTTTCAGATGAAACAGATCATTCTTGTTCTGAGAAAATATATCTTCTAACATTTACAGAGCAACTCTGCACAAAACACTTTTTTTTGTTTGTTTTTAAAAATGGATTGAGTCTGGAGTTTACCTGCTGCTTAGGGTCCCAGTCAGGGAAGATGTCCTCCTGACATAGCTGTAACAGATGGACAATCAAGCCTGCGTTTTCCATTTACTCCAATGAAGAATCTATTGGAGGAACAGGAATCAACTAGGGCAGGGGTAGGCAACCTTGGCAGGAGTCATGCCTGCAACCACAGGCATGACTCCCAGAGGCAGAAGCATGATGGGATTTGTAGTTTCACCACTGCTGGAGAGCCAAGGTTGCCTACACCTGCACTAGGGGAACAGTGGTGACCTGCCCTGCAATAGACTATATGTTGGAATACATAGAGAGCTCACGGGCTGGTGACAACAGCTGCTCAACTTACAATTGACTGATCTGCCTGTAGGTACACAAGGGGAATTGAATCCTGAAATACTTCACCCTGTATAGAGATAATAGGTAGAGCCGGTCTTTAGAACTGAACTACGGGCAAACCACTAAATATGCATATAGGAGTTGTTCTATCTGCCAATGGATTTATATTCCCTGTCTGGCAGGACAGAAGACTGCCCTGTCTGGCAGGACAGAAGACTGCCTGATTTTCCTCTCATATAGTTCAGCAACACAGGTCTAGGCTCTCCCCAACCTGTGACTGGACAGTGAACAGAGCAGCAGCACATTGGTGAACTCCTCTCTTTGTCACTCTGCTCTCTCATCCTATCGGCCTGCATGAGTGTTTACATTTGTTCTATTGAATAAGCTATTTGAGGTTCAAATGCAACATCCACCACCGTTGATCTTTCAGTATTAGTAGAACACTGGCAATTAGAAACAGCAGCTGGTTCCCAATCTCCTGCCTTGTATTTTTCTCCATCACCATCGTTTTCTTGGATTGCCTTTAACAAACAAAAGGATGACCATTCAATCCATTTATAATCAACAGGTACACAATAGGATAGCTGTCACCTATCAGCCATTCAGTGTTGTAGAATGGGCCAACAGTGGGTCCGCGAGCCTGTACAAGTGCCAAAAAGTCACAACTATCTTTGTACATTGGGGCAGCCATATTTGCTCTCTACATTTGCAAGTGCTGTGTCTTGTGGATATATAAATGGACCCTGTAGTCTCCTTTGTAATAAGCGATGCCTTAGATGGAGCCTCAGGCAGAGTAGTTTCTTATTCCTTGCAGGCAAGAGGAACTCTTATATACAGTGTGATATGCATCTGCAGGCACATATGAATAACAGGCACATCTAGCTTAATTATCACATATCTGCCATTCATTCAGTCTTCTGGGTCACAGGGCTATACAACTAATGACCTCTGCCTTTGGTTTCTTGCTCTGATCTGTTCCTTGTTGGTTATGTGTTTAGATGAAGCACTGAGTTCTTGAGGAATGCTGAATTAAGTTTTACTTGGTTAGCAAGACATTACATGTATGTATACCGGAATACAGCATTATCAGCATACAGAGCTTCCTGTATATATAATAGATAAGTATGCATATAGAAAACTAACATAGACTAGCATTGCACTACAGCGTCATCTACTGCTCAAAATACATAATTACAGTCAGTAATACAATCAGTATGCTGTTGCATTTCCAACACTCGTCATATGACCCACACCTATTTTGTTAGTAGGGCTACCCATTCTAGCAACGCATCAATACAGAAGTGGGAGGGCAGGGGCCGATGACTACAAGTGCTGTCGGAGGTGGTTGCTGTTTGAATATTACAAAGCTTCAGGACCCCAGAAAACTGGAGAACTGCTATGTAAATGCAAGTGATTCAAGTTGACATAAAGGCACATATATGTGCCTTCTATTTATTGTATTTTAATCCCTTACATAAGACCATGGGTTCAGTATAAAGTATGACGTGCCTTATTGATTAAAATAAAGTGTGAAATATAACGATGTGTGTGCAAGTACCAGTGTTCTTCATGTCCTTTTGTTGAAAGAGAGAGCTGCAGATATTCCAAGTACACTTTCCCAACTTTATATTCGGCTCATAAAACGATTTGCAACACTAAAGGCAAAGTGTTGCTTTTAGACGTAGGAAAAATGTAAGGATTAAGCATTTAAATGGTTTGCTCAACTTTGTCAGGTAAAAAACTGGAGTTTAAGACATCAAAGATCTAAAAAGTGACCCCGGAGGCTGCTTGGATTATTATTTCAGAATCCCGCTGGGAACAAGTGTTGCACTAAGTTACAGTTCTTTAATGAATCCTGACTAAGAAGGGAGGAAAAAGGCTCTTGAAAATAATTGATTACTTGATTTCTTTCAGCAGCTTTCAGAAATTATATTGTCATTAGAATGGGGGGATTAATGCATGAGTTTTTAGCAATTTCACAAGAGAAGCAGATGCTTTTGGGCTACACCAGACTTGAATATTGAAATTCATAAGCTGCTATTAGCCTTGCCATGATGCTTAAAAGTTGCTTCACTTTAGCACTTTTCTGTAAATGTTGTGTTTTTTAAGAAAAAAAGAATACCGTAATAGGTACCTACAGAAATAAGAGAACATTCACCCATTCATGGTTAGGGCAAGGAATATTCATAGGTTTGTAGGTCTTTACCTACACATTTTGGCCAAGCCTGTTCACGGATCAGCTAGCCGGGATGTGTTTTCCTTTCCACTTTTTTTTCTACCTCTATTCAGATGCTGCCCACTCCCCATCCCCTCATCATAGGTGCAAACCTAGAACTTGCGTGTTCGTATAACAGTTGATGCCAATAATGGTTATTCAGGAGCCGGTTTGTGCAAGTCTTGCACCTTTTAGGTGTAATTGAAAAGCTAGCTGTTGTTTAAATGGAGAAGCCTTTAGCGATCATGTAAAACTCGCAGGTCTAAGTACCGCATACCCTACAAATATTGTATTTGCTTTCACTCCCTTCACTACGTCATGCTAATAGCACAACACAGTGAAAATCAGAATATTCTCTCAAGGTCCATCTCCAGCCAAAACCTTTTTTTGTATTGTTGAAAGGAACTTGCGACGTTTGTTACATTATTCTGTTGCTGCCTGTGCCTCCATTTGGAAGATTTCTAGTCGCTTCCTTCCCAAGGCAGGAATTCATGGGAATTGTCTCCAGTGGGGATAGAGTAACAAAACCCTTTTTTAGTTGGGAAGGCTTGGAACCTCTGTCTGATTTTTATTGCTGCCTGTGTCTTCCTGTTTCAGTGATACCTGTGTCTCTCATTTGTTGTCTCAGTGTCAGAGGAACAAGATGTAAGACCTCCACAATGAAGGTCCTAGACAGCAACCTGTGGAAAAAAATATATATATCTGTGTACCTTTCCTGCTGCCCATGTGCCAAACTCCACTCTTACGCTGGCAAATCTTGTGCAGAAGTAGGAAGGGAAACTGACAGTTTTGTGATTGTCCATCTCCTGGGTACCCTGCAGCTCTCACTGGTTTTCCTTGCTGACCTCCATGTCACTTCGGTATCTTGTAATAGATGGAGAGCTGCAGGGGAACCATGAGATGAACATTTCTATGGAAGTGTTGGTTTCAATGCGGAGGTTCACAGAAGAGTTCTCCGCATCAGAGCTGAATTTGGCAGTGCAGAAAGCAGGGGAGGTAAGTATTTGAGTTCTTATACGGGTATGGCTTTGTTATATGGTATTTACCATAGCAACAAGGTCGCTTTAAGAAACTTAGATGTACTCCACTCTTCTTCACATTTCGTGCTGATCCTAGTTCTTGAAATCTTGTGATTTTTCAGACAAAGTTCTGTGCAGAGTTTGGCATCACCTTCTTTGACCTGCAAACCAGAAGGTTTGCAGGATGTGCGATGTCTTGCCATGGTTTGGTACTTTCTCTGAGTGTTCAAGGTGAATCACATCCTACAGTGTACGGCCAAGGCTCTTTATACCATAACCTATTGGTCTATCTATAAACATTTTGCAGGGCCCATTGTCCTGAGAATTATCAGTGAACATAGGAGATACTTATTACCTTTGTTCCAAAGCTCCATCTACTGGCCATAATGCTGAATTACATAACTGTACATTCTGCCTGAAAATAAACTATATTAAGAATGTTTGTTTGTTTTTGTCATTATTCACACAAAATGAGTCTTCACAGATATTCGTAGGGCTCTGCAAGTTTTTTATAAATAGACCCTTAATTTAGTTTACAAAGCTGAGTGGGCAATGTAGATTATGGCACTTAAGAAAATTAAAATAGCACTGCTCTGTTTCATGTGTCCTCCTTGCTTTGACAATTCACCTGTTGTCACTGATAAAATAAAACCCTAAATATATTTTCCTATTTGTACATGCACATTTGTATATCCAGGAGGAAATTTCTCTGTTTTTCTTAAATATACACTAAAAAAAAATGTAATTTGTTTTGCAGTGATGACAAGAATGTACAAGGCCGTCAAGAGGAGGAGGAGGATGTGGTAGAAGTGGAGGAGGATGAGGTTGATGATGACGAAGATGATGGTGAAGATGTGGAGGAGCCTGAGGAAATCTTTGAAGAAGCCACTGAGAGGACCACAAGCATTGCCACAACCACTACCACCACCACGGAATCCGTGGAAGAAGTTGTAAGAGGTAATTATAGAATGTATTTGTTTTATAAAATTCATATACATCATATTAACATCCATCCTAAGCAGTCTGTGTCATTGGTCTACTATCATTTTTTTTTTAGATGTCTTAGTTTCAGGTTTGGTGAAGATCCCATACAGTTCCCTTACCTGCTGCTGTTAAGATTGGGGATCGACCAATACCGTTCTTTTGGTATTGAGTACGAGTACTGATATTTATCTTTCGGTACTTGCCGAAATATACCAGTATCCGTACCGATACTGTCACTTCCGCTAGCATGGTATCGGTGTATCCCTAGTTAAGACTGTGTTCTAATTCAAGTAGAACACTAGAGTCAGAGCCCCACCCTATGTTTTTTTCCATTTTGCTTGAAAATCCATGGATGGGTATCTAACTTACAATTTTCTTTGATTGTAACTGTCAGCTTGAACTGTGATGGTGGCCAATCACCTGCCATCACTGTTCAGGTATTATGACAGCGGCAAACCTGCTGCTGTCCGAATACAAAAGTCCAGCATATTATATTATAAGTTCCTCTGCCCTATTCCGTTTTGTCTTTGGTTGTAGCAGCTGCCTTAGTTTCTCGTCTGCTGAGACAACCAAATGCTGAACACTGGCTGAATCTGTTAATTTGCTTTGAAAGTACTGTCAAGGGATGTCTTTTTGTGTGCTTCCAGGGACAAACCTAGAGGGAAAAAATCTGCTGCTGGGTAAAGGAACCGTTTTAGTACTCTGCAGTGGTTACACTGTTAGATTTCCCATTGCAATAGTGTACAGGGTTGTAGTTTCTGATCAGGCATGCATCTCTATGACAGAGGCCCTGCAAACATATATTTGATATTGTTTACTTAAAAATAATGTTGCAGGTGTTGGGTATTAGGGATTCTCAATCACCTTACTAAGGCAAATATATACCTAAAACCTAAAGTTTGGCTAACAGGGATTTATTAGCACAGTTAAATTTGTTGAACAATCAGAAAAATTGTACCATTAACAAGTAATTGTCGATTAGAAGCAGGAGAGCACTTTTATACATTATACTGTCTAGGCACTCCTCCTTTCCAATCTTGCCACTGATGATGAGATTACACTGATGGTCTAGCAACAAGAGGAGCTCCTTAATGATAGCTTGTGTCTCCACCAACATGGTGGCCTCCTCACAGCTACAAATGATTGTGTCCTTCACTGCTGATTTTTTCTTGCACTGTTGGAAGCATAACAGTATTTAAGATTAGACTTGCTGTACTGATGGCGAGTACCTTCCAGTCCAACAATAGAGCAGAGATTCTGAGGGCTTTCCTGGTCTGCCAGGAAGTATCTAGCTGCTGCTTAGTCCAGCAATCCAATGGTCAGAGCTGGCAGATCACCAGACAAAAGGAAATGTAATCGTCATGGTCAGGTGGTGTATTTACAGGGAGCTCTTAAACATGAGGAGTATCATGCACAACTGTGGTTTTGTTCAGTCTATCAGAGTGCTTGAAATGGGTTTTATAGCAAGCAGTTTGTTTTGATAATTGCAAATGTAAATGGCTCTTTCTAGTGAATTGTAATAATCTGATGCCATTTTCTCTCTATAAAGCAAATTGTCTTTGTGGTTTGGAAATATGGCATTAATTGGCAGTGCCGTAGTGCAGCTGTGCACACATCTTGAAAACTGAGAACTATTTTTATATGCACCACAGCGCGCTCAGATTCATCCCAACTAGGAAATCACAGCTCTCCAATTGAATTCTTCCTTAAAGGTATAGTCCACACAAAACTTGTTTTCTTTTTTAGGCAGATGCCAACTAGTTAAAACCCTACATGGATTCTTTTATCTCTCAGGGGCTCCATTGTGTCAAGATCAGTACACCAGACAAATGTCTATTGGCTTTGCCTCTTTGGATTTTGTTGTCTCTCTCCTGGGGTCCTTAATAGCTAGAAGAAATCAGTGGATCAGCATCCACCCTAATTAAGATATTGGTTTTTAGTGGACCAGACCTGAAAATTGTTTTAGCTGTGTTTTTATGCCATGCTGCTCTCAAACTAAATTGGGTTCCTCCGCATTTTGCAAATAGAGGTGTGTTCTGAGCAAGCCGAGACTGGCCCTTGTCGAGCAATGATCACCCGATGGTACTATGATGTCACGGAGAGGAAATGCGTACCGTTCATATATGGAGGCTGCGGCGGCAACCGCAACAACTTTGAGTCCGAGGACTACTGCCTGGCAGTGTGTGGCAACGTCAGTAAGTGGACTTCCCTGACCTGTGGCAGCCTGTTGCCACAGCCTCTGCTCTCAATAACTAGTCACTTCCTCGAAACTGGCTTGCCCTGTAACTAACCCAAGTTCCTGGTGTTAACCTCCTCTGTCACCACTGTGTCTTATTAACGGCTTTCTGTGGAAGCACGATAAACAACCAGTCTGCATCCCGTGGGGGGAATTTACAAAGACGATGCACACTAATTTAGGAGATATACAGTGCAGATTTCACTCTGATTTATTTATCAATAGATGTGCATTATCTAGTCTTAATTTTGTGACCCTGCATTGCTTTACCTGAATTCCAAGATGCAGCATTATATATAATGCAACGCATTTATCTCATCATTAGCAATATCTTTTTAATTTAAGTCAGGTGCATGTTTTTTGCTTATATCAGTGGCAGATTTTTAATTCTGTCTGTGTTCCATTTAGATTTCCCCTCTTTTTCTGTTCGGTGTGACACCTGTCAACTTGAAGGAAAGTGAGGGGAAATCTCAAACCAAATGGAGATACAGACAACAGTATTGCCCTGACGTATGTTCTATAATTTCTAGGGCTGCGGAAATTAACGATTAATCCCTCGATTAATCGTGAATTTTTTTGATCTATCAAAATTATTTTGATCAATCAAAGTTCTTTGGCTCCGTACTCACCTCTTCGCCGGCTTCCGGGTCTTCCGTCGGAGATCCGGTGACGTCACGGACATCGACGTCACCGGACTCCTCCCCCTTCCGCAAGTGGCTCTGTCGGCTAACGAAGGGAAGGGGGGAGGAGTCCGGTGATGTCGATGTCTGTGACGTCACTGGACTCCTCCCCCTTCCCTTTGTTACCTGATGGAGCTGCTTGGGCCGGTGAGTACACATCCTAACTCTCCCGGCCGCCCGGGAGAGACACTTTTTACCGGAAAGGTTAATCTGCTCAATCGAGCAGATTAAACCTTTCCCTGGGATCGTTTTTTTTTTTTTCTTTTCTGACATCGGGAGCCGCGGCCTGACCGTCAGTCAGAAAAGAAAAAAAAAGGCATACGATTGCATAGCTAGATTACTATTGGCTATTGCACTTTGCAATAGCCAATAGAAAACTAGCTAAAGCACCCGCCCACTGCTGCTGTCAATCAGCAGAGGGGGACCTGAATTTTTCTATCAGGTCCTCTTCTGGTGATTGAAAGCAGCAGGGGGC